GCAATGTGTGTTGATAAACAGACCCTCAAACACCCCCTGAATCAGGCACAGTAACTCTTGGCCTCAGCTAAAAATGGATCCACCACCAACAAACAAAGTCTAACGATGAGGTTGAGGTTGCAGCTGGCATCTGGGTGCCACTTGGGTCCCCTGGGGACACAGCTGCCCCCAGACCACAGCCTCAGGGGGGGGTCTCTCTCTTTGCAGAGCCTCGAAGTAAGAAGACACAAGCACGAGATGACACTCACTAACAGCTCCTCGTGTCCCCCCAGTCCTGCTGCCAGCCCCAGGGCACCCCTGGTCCAGCTCACACACTGCAGATGCTTGTTTTGGGTTCTGTCCACATCCCTGTCCCCCTCTGGAGCCAGCACTGACCCACCTGGACACTCCCTGCATGTGGCACCCTCATCCCCCTCTGAGCTAACTCTGCTCCAGTTTGTTCTATCTGGGTCAGCAGAGCCTCCTGGCTGTGCCTGGACCCTCCTTGCTGGTTTTTTTAGGGTCAGCAGCCAAGGGGGGAAATCACTCCACTGTGTTTTGCACCCTAGGAATGCCCTTCTGAAACCTGGGGGGGAAATAATCCTCGGAGGCAGCGACCCAGCCTACTACACAGGAGAATTCCACTACCTGAACATCAGCAAGAGTGGCTACTGGCAGATCAGTATGAAGGGGTGAGGGCAGGGGCAGCCTCTGCATGGCACCAGGATGCATGGAATCATGGAATCATGGAATTATTTAGGTTGGGAAGGCCTCTAGGATCATCGAGTCCACCCAGCAGTGCCAGTCCCTGTGGCTGTGTGAGGGTGGGATGGCAAACTGGGCACTGGGGTAGGAGGTCCATGGGGTTCTGCTCTCACTTGGCACTGCTGGTGGATGTTTCTTCCCTTCTGGATTGGTTCCTCCAGCATTTCCAGGCTTAGCAAGGAGCTGGGAATGCAGAGGGGGTGGCACCGTGGGCTGATTCCACTTGGAAGCTGCAGAGGAAGAGTTTAACCCCCTTTAGTCCTGCAGGAGGAGTGTGAGGCACAGAAACAATTCTGCTTTGTTTAGTTAACAAAAAAAAAATAATAACCCCCACACATGATGAAGCTTAGCTTCCACATTGGGAAAGCTGGAGGGGAGTGTTCCTGGTGCTGCTGGAGACACTGTGCTCCAGAGGAGCAGAACATGCTCTGCCTGGCCAGAGCTCCCTGGAGGAAGATGTGGCACACTCTGCTGTGAGCACATCACTCAGGGTATCCCCTCCTGCTCCAGGGTGTCTGTAGGGGCTGAGATCCTGTTCTGCAAGGAAGGCTGCTCCGTGGCTGTGGACACAGGAGCATCCTACATCACTGGCCCTGCTGGTCCTGTCTCTGTGCTGATGAAAGCCATTGGGGCAGCTGAAATGGCTGAGGGAGAGGTGAGTAACCCCTCACACCCCACTCTGTGCCACATCCCTGCCCCACTGAGTGAGATCAGCACTGTCTCCTCCTCTTCCAGTACGTGGTGGACTGTGACCAGGTGTCTCAGCTGCCCAACATCTCCTTCCACCTGGGTGGGAAGGTCTATGCACTCAGTGGCTCAGCCTACATCCTCCGGGTAAGCTACACCCCCCTACAGCATCCTGCACCCTCCTGGCTCCCCTAAAGCAGCTCAGATGGACCCCAGAGTGATGCTCCTTGTGTTCCCCAACCTCTCCTGTTGGGCAGAGGTGTCCACATGAGCCACACCAACCTGTCACTGCTTCCTTGAGTGGTTTGGGGGAGATCTGGGAGGAGCAGAAAAAACTGAGACAAGCAGAGATGCTCCTTTCTGGAGGCTGGATATTAGGGAAAGGCTCTTCCCCCATAGGTGTTTGGGCACTGGGACAGGATTAGGCTGGATATTAGGGAAAGGCTCTTCCCCCAGAGGTGTTTGGACACTGGGACAGGTTTAGGTTGGATATTAGGGAAAGGCTCTTCCCCCAGAGGTGTTTGGGCACTGGAACATCTCCCCAGGGCAGTGCTCAGAGCCCCAAGAGTTCATGGAGCATTTGGACAATGCTCCTAGGCACGTGGTGGGATTTTGGGGGTTGTCCTGTGCACTTAGGATATTCTGTGAGGAAGGAGCATCGTGGCCCAGCAGTGGGTGTGGAGCTGGGGGTGCCACCTTCCCTTGGGTACTCTGCCATAGGGATGTCCCTCCTGGCACCTCCATCACCACGTGGGTCTCCTCCTTTTCATAGCAATCCCAGTACGGAGAGGACATCTGCGTGGTGGGTTTCTCAGGGCTGGACATCCCACCCCCAGCTGGTCCCCTCTGGATCCTGGGTGCCAGCTTCATCGGGCACTACTACACCAAATTCGACCGGCGCAACAACCGCATCGGCTTTGCCACAGCTCGCTGAGAGCAGGAGGGGAGGGGGAACCAGCCTGGAGCTGAGACAACCAGCAAGAAGCAGCGATTTGAACTGCAAATGAGAGCAGCATTTCCTTCCAGCTCAGCCACCTCCTCTCTTCGCTGAAGCAACTGCAAAGCTCACCTTCTCCCACTCCAAACCCCCGCGCTGCTTCCCGGGAGCCTCAGCTGCTGGGGAGAGTGTTCAGGCTGGGAATCCAAGGGCTGCACCTCCAGGGGCTTTGAGGGTGATGTACGACCACCGTACGAGGAATTGCTGCTGACGTGGAGGTGCTGCAGGCAGAACAGGGAGGGATCAGCTGTGACAGGTTGTGTTGTTTGTTAGTCGGGAGAAAAATAATCCACGTTTAATGATAGTTTTAGTGGTGTTAACCCTACACCTCTCCGTGACTTTAATATTAAACAACTTACAGCAACAGGACACTGAGTGGGGCTTATTCTTGCAGAGGTGAGAGATCAGGTGTCTTTCTTAAGGGAACTGGGCAGCAAATGTTCCTCTGCCTGGATCCACCACGGCGTTTATGTCCTTCCCTGTTCCACAGGAGTGCAACGCCCTCCCAGCTACTGCCACAGCAGCCACCTGTAGGCAAATCAGGGGCTTTTCAAACAGACAAGCTCCTTCTGCAGGAGGTGAGATGCTGTGTGGCTGCTCAAGCCTCAACCTGCCACCCCAGCAGGGCTCAAGAGCACTGGTTACACCCTTGGGGACAAGGACAGGGCTGGATGTCTGTTTGGTGGCTCTTTGGGGAGGGGAAGGTGCCTGCAGGTCTGTGGCTCACCAGGAAGGCAGCTCTGGCTGCCTAGGGCCTGTTTTCATGGCCACGTGGGCTCCAGCTAACAACCAGACACTTGTCTGTGCCCTGGCTGTGTGTGGAGATGCTGCTGGAGCTGCCAGCCCCGTGCCAGCTGGCCCAGCAGGAGGGACAGACCAGTGCTCCCAGCTGGAGGCTGACATTTCTAGTGCCACAGAGAGCTGCAGTGCTTCCAGATCCAGCCCAGCAGCTGCAAATCCAAATGCTGCCCAACGCCAAGGGATCTGCAAGATGCTCTCACCACCAGTTTGGCCAGTTCAGGGGCTGTGAGTGCTGTGGTCCAGAGCTTGAGCACTGGGGAAAGTGCCTGGAAAGTGAAGCACAATGCTTGGGCTGCTGGAGAGAGTCAGCACCTCACCACGGCAGTGCAACTGCTTGCAGGAGCTGCTCATCCTCATGTCTGCTGAGGAATTCCCAGTGCTGAGGAATTCCCAGTGCTGCCTCTCGGCTGCAGGGACGTTTGGGACAGGGATGCTCCTGCCAGCACCAAGGCAGCTGTGTGACCTTCCCAGCCAGGTATGCAGCAGCCTCCACTCCCCTCCCTCCATCCCTCATCCCTGCCCTGCCCCACGGCAACTTTACAACCCAGAGGATGTGGATAAGCGGATGTTTGTCCCTCCTGGGAGTCTCTGCAGCCACATAGCATTTAAAGCTCTTAACACCGGGATGCACAGCCCCGGGGCTCCAGCGATGGGAAATTTAGGGCTCTCAGTGGTGTGAAGTGTCTTTCCATCACCTTCTGCAGCACTTCCCTGTCGCCTCCAACACGGGAGCGGTGGCAGCACCTCTCGGGGGCCTGGCAGTGGAGGGAAGGGGCCCCAGCAGGCAGAGAGTATGTCCCTTTCATCCAGCATTTCCTGAGCACGCTCCAGGCAGCTGCTGGGAAACAGCAGGAGTTGCTGGAAACCAGCGCAGGAAACCCCAGGAGCTGGGAAGAGGAGGCAGGGAGGGATAGGAGGGAGGGCAGAGCTGCCTGGAGACCTTCAGCAAGGGAGAGCTCGGATGTACACAACCTTCTGGATGTGCAGGGATGCTGGGAAGTGTCTCCTTTTCATTCTGAACACAGGGAAACTCCACTTGGAAACAACTAAGCCTCCTCTGCCCTGTTCTACACCACAAAGGCTCTGGTTTGGAGAAGACTGGAGTGGATGTGACCTTGCAAAAGCACCAGGTGACCTCAGCCCCCGCAGTGTCTTCTGCCACAGCTCTCAGCTGGAAACGCTCAGACCGGCCTAGAATAGGCTCATTTTTGTGGCTCTGGTACTATTTCTATTCAGCACACTTGTTTCAAGCAGCGAGAGGAAAAAACGCTCGGGCTGCTTACGGTGCTGCTCCTGGGCCCCTTAAGCCAGGCTATTAACACCTCTAATCGCCTGCTCCGGGGGCAATTTCCCGGTGGATGCGGCAGCTCTGGCTGCGAGGCACCACTAACCCGCCACGGCCCGGATTAGATCGTTCCGGGAGAGCAATTAGGAATTAGGCCACGCTCAGCCCAGCAAAGCGCGGGAGCAATTATGACCATCCTATTAGCACTGACAGAGCTCGCTCTATATTTAGAAACAAGGGAACTGGCTGCTGGTGGAGGGTTTGGG